CGTAATATAAAACAATATAAAGCGTAATATGTATGCATAAAACAATCTAAAGCGTAATATGTATGCATAAAATAAAAGATTATAAAAGCATAAAATGTTGTATGCAATGTAAATCGTAATATGTATGCATAAAACTATGTAAAGCGTAATATGCATGCATAAAACCAATGAAATCGTTATAATTTGGTAATAAACAAATTCCCAAATGCCAATATTGTTGTTTGTCAAATTGCAGAGGCAACTTGACAACATGGATTTACAAAGGGAAATAAAACCAAATGCACGACGACTGGCAAAAAAATGGCAGCGCAGTCTGGATATATATTTTCTGGCAAACTCCATAACTGATGTTAAAAAAAAGAGCAAAACTCTACACTATGGTGGAAGTGAGCTCCAAGACTTGTTCTACATACTACCTGGCGCGAATGTCGATAAAACCGTCGAAAAAATAATGTAGGACCATTGCAGTTGAAAAATTCAACCCAAAAATTCATTTACCCACTAGTAGATATAAAAAAACATTTTTTGGTAAACTCAGTCTCAAATAGTTTCTGAAAAATAAAATTATTTTTTTAAAAAAGGTCCGATTAAATATATATCTCCGAAACGAAGCACTGCTTACGAACGACATGTATTCTTTGGATTCTGCCAAAACACTGGGGAACTAGTAGAGCAATTCGCATATCGTTTAAGGAAACAGGTAAGCAAATGTAATTTTACACATGATGTAGATGAGTATATTCGATTTATATTATAATATCAAAAACGAACAATGAAAAACTACAAGTTTTCATTTTGAAGCATGACAAACTCAAAGCATCCCACTTCATGCAGTATTAAGCCATGCGAAAGTATAGAAATGGCTACTTTCGAACATGCGTCGGTTAAGTAGAGCTGGTTAAGTAGAGCAGTAGCATCGTAGGGACTAAAATATTCAACAAAGTAACTGAGAAATTAACTCAACTGTAACTGGTAAAATATTTACGTTAAGTTAAATTGTTTTTGCAGTCAGGTTTCCCAGACACTTTAAAAATCCGGATATGTCTGGGTAAATCCGGACGTATAGAAACCCTAATAAAAGATATATGCAGATGTTTTTGAAAAAAACTTGGGTAGTCCGTGACTAAAACAGAAATCTAAAAAGTTATTTTTTTTGAAAAATGCCACTGTTTTAGAATCCAAATGGAACCCAGTTTGTCAATGGCTATTTTTACTCGTAATAAAATTTGTCTAACCAACAAAACCATTTAACTTTTCAGGTGGTACAACAAATACACTGACGCGACATCTATAGGGCTTGACCTCGACAAAATTATCATCGAGGGTCATTCCCCCGCCGTCTTTGATGCCGTTTTTTTTTATCCTATATATTTATTATTAGATATAATGGCAATATAGCCAGTTATAATATATAGTTTTGATCACTAAAAATTAAGATTTTTCAACAATGTTACAAGGGGTTCAATTTTACTCTGTAAGAGGATGAAATCACTGGTCTAGCTAATAAAGTAATATCATTTAAAAGAATTTTTGTGATAATATTAATGTGTCTAAAGCCAATGGTAACAAAATTTTATAATATGTACAAATTGATATATCGGGTGCGTCTCAAAAGTGGTTCACAATTATAACTTTTTTATTTTTATCAGATAAAAAAAAACGATATTTGGTATGTTAGTATATGACATAAATTCCAAACTAGCATTTATAGTGACAGGTGGCAGATACGTAACTGCTACTATCAAAGCCACCACAAAGTGGGCAGTGACCTACGGCGGCTACGTCGTATATACGTAGCTGCTAAGTAACTGCGACCAAAATTGAGAAAGATTTTGAGTAGCCGGGTAGTGTCTTGGGTAGTTTTGCCACTAAAAGAGTTACTATGATGTGTTACTATAAAGTAGTCTACTGGTGAATGCTACTTATCTGCTACGAAGCTGCCTAGTCGCGGGTTCGTAGCAGCCAAGTGTTTTCCACCGACATGACATGTGGAACTTTCGTTAAACTGTTAAACTTTATTCGCAGCGACCTCTTCAGGCGATTTCACATTTCATAAAAATAAATGTCATGATGGAAAATTATTATGGAAGCCATTATTATTTTTTTCGATATTTATCCTGCGATTTTAAGGTCTTTTGTAGGTAAATTCCAGAACGCAATCGACTTTTCTGAATAAATTAGTGGGTTTATATGACAAAATTTTCGAGCGCCTCTCAAAATATTTCAAATTTTTATATTATTTGCAATAGAAACTCATGAAAAAAAATAATAATAATTTGCTTGAAACTGGGGTCAAACTTTAAATATTAGTCCACCGTCAGTAATAACAAAATAACTAAGGAAAAAAGTTTTTAATCTAGGTATATTTAGCTTGAAAACGCATAATGTTTGAGCCATTTGGATGTTCATCTAAAAAGTCATGAAAGAATATGGACGTTTAATCCGAAAAATACTTTATAGTTCCATGTGCTCCTACAAAGTACCGGGAACAATAACATATTAGGCCAACTCTACCCGTTTGGACCTTCAAAATCTTCGGATTGATAAAGTGACAATTGTCACATTAAGAAATGCCTAGACGATGACAAGTTGTGGGAATCTGAAAAATTAATACAAACTTATAAACCGTTCAAAACAGAATATTGTTTTCATGAAAATATACTTCTACGGGGACACACCAAAATTGTAATGCCAACGGCCTTACATGGCAAAGAATTGTCACTAAGTCATGAAGGACACCCAGGAAGAGATAATATGAAACGCTTACTACGAGCCTATGCCTGGTGGCCGAAAATATATTGATATATTCCGAATATGTAAAACAGTGCCATGGGTGTGCTTTAGTCACCGTAACGAACATACCCGAACCCCCTTAAGATGAGAAGTTTCCCTACTACCCCCTGGAATGACATAGCCATAGACTTCTGTGGGCCAATGCATAACAATATCTACCTGTTAGTAATCATTAACTATTATAGTCGATTCCAAGAAGTGATCGCCATAAAAAATCACCTCGAGGGATACAACAGAACAACTTCGGAAGTTCTTTTCTCTCCTAGGACTACTCAAGACTATAACAGCTGATAATGGCCGACAGTTTATCAGCAATGAATTTAAATGTTTTTGTAAGGAACATGGAATTACATTATATTCAACCCCACCATAATGGCCGCAAGCAAATGGACTGGTCGAAAGACAAAACAATTCAATACTAAAAAGGCTCCGCATAAGTGCAAGTAAGTACCTCAGGAAGTGATTAGCAAAAGGACCTTCAAAACTACTTTCGGCTTGATAGAAATACCTCACACCCTGTAACTGGCGTCTCTCCAGCGCAACTTCTTTTTGGCCGCGCTATTCGAACAAAAATACCATCCATTGGTGAACAAATAATTCAACACCCTGACCACTGTGAAGTGTAGGATAACGACACAAACTTGAAATCTAAAACAAAAGAATTTGCTGACAAAAGGCGACGAGCAAAGACATCGGATATAAACGAAGGAGACACGGTTCTAGTAAGAGCAGAGAGAAAGGAAAACAAATTTAGTACACCGTATCAAAATGAACTATACGAGGTGATCAATAAACACCAAGGCGATGTTACCTTAAAATCAAATACAACAAGCAATACAATACGGTGAAATATCGCATATTTAAAACTCTACGCTCCCAAGTTATCGACGTCCCCCACCAGTGAAGAAGATGCCCAAGACGAAAGAATTTCTCCACATCCGCCAACATCCTCCAATAGTGAAGAAGAAGCCCAAAATGAAAGCACTTCCCCACAAGGTCTACCTCTTCCAAAGCTAAGGATTAAACTTGGTTCAGACCCTTCGTGCACGCTGATGGATTAATAAATCTCGAAAGCAAAGGAGAGGATGTAGCAGTATCATAGACCGATACTGGGAACAGTGGCAACGCCGCGACTACCGGCGAGGTCGGAGATCAGCTGACGTGCCGGCGATCGATAGTTTGGTAGAAACGCGGACTGTAAATAAGAAACGTGTTTGAGTGTTTTAATATTTTTGTTGATGTATTAAGTTGATTAATTGTTAATTATATTTGTTTAAACTCGACTTGTGAGTATTCATTTCTACAGCTACCCTAAGCAAAACATATAATTATGTAAAGTTATGATATTTATCAACCTAGATAAATATTGTGGCAGGATATATCATATATCTTGTATTAACATTATACCACCCTAGGTATAATGATTTTTTATATATATTTTTATATATAAGAATTGTTAATATTTTGCTACCTTAAGCAAAACATATTATTCTGTCAAGTTATGAAGGTGATATTTATCACCCTAGATAAATATTGTGACAGGATACTGTATAGATATAAATATTATTAAATATATATTGTATTAGCATTATACCACCCTAGGTATAATGATTTTTATATATATTTTTATACATAAGAACAGCTAATATTTTGCTACCCTAAGCAAAACATCTTAGTCTGTCAAGTTGTGATATTTATCACCCTAGATAAATATTGTTACAGGATACTATATAGATGTATATTGTATTAACATTAGACCACACTAGGTATAATGTCTATTCTTTTAAAGAAAATTGAAAGAATACCCGTACAATCGTTCACTACTCTAGGCGAAACATAGTATTCTTGTCAAGTTGTGATAATTATCACCCTAGATAATTATTGTGAGGAATACTGTGTAGATAAATATTGTATTAACATTATACCACCCCAGGTATACTGATTTTTTGTTACCGATTTCTATCTTTATTTTTATTTAGTTATTTTTGTGAACAAGAATCTCTCTCATTATATATTAATTGTTATATCGTTATGAGTCGCAGACTTACTACGACTCCTCTCTCTATGTCTTTTTCTTGAAGGATTCGGCATTTCCACTGTTTTCCGCACTCCGAAAAACATCAAAACGTAACGTATCGGTCCGCACTAAAAAGAAGACTGAATATGGAGCAGTACGGCGCGGCAGGACGAGCGGCGGGGGTTTTTGCTTTTTCAGCTTTAAAATAAGCTTTGTTTTGGTTCACGTTTTAGGACTATTCGCACATGCGTCGTAAGCGTTTTATGTTTTGGTTCATTCGGAATTGATTCTGAATGTTTACACATCTGTTTTGGTTTCTAGCTGGGACTGGTTCTGGACCGTTCTAGGATCGTCCTAGCGATTCGCGCCTCTCAGTAGGGACGGTTTACGAATTAACAGTTCGCACATGCGCAAACAATAATAATCTTGTAAAACCAAAATATTTTCTTTTTATATTTTTTAAAAAGGCAGGAAAGATCGAAGAAGACAATTACCCAACAATTACCTATCATGGATGCTTCAGTTTTAATGGTGAGTATAAATATTAATTTGTTTGATTTTTACGAAGGCAATAATTTAACAATAGTTTTTTTTCCTTTTAGGAACTGATCTGTTCAAGCAGTAGCAGTGAGGAAAGTTCGGATGATGAAAATTTTTTAAAAGTAGTTTTGCCCGAAGTTCTGGAGCACCACCAGAAGAATGAAAATTATGCTGAAATAATTATGCCAATGTACACAGAAAAAGAGTTTGCTGAACATTTTAAGGTGCCAAGAAGTCTTATTGCAGAACTTGCTGCAGAGTTTGAAGATTCTGTATACTACCCAAAAAAAGAAACAGGGTTTCCAAGAATAGGTGCACCAAAATGTCTTTGTGTTTTTGTTTGGTATGCGACACATGAAGCTGCTTCATTCCGAGATGTTAGCGACAGGTTTAATATAGCAGTTAGTACTCTCCACAATATTATTTACAATGTGGCTCATTTCTTAAGCTACAAGTCAAATGAAATAATCACTTGGCCAACAGAACAGGAAAAAGTTGGAATAGAACAAGATTTTTTGGAAATGGGGTTTCCAGGTGTCATTGGATGTATGGATGGTTCCCATGTAAGGATTGATCAGCCCAAAAATGATCCTGAAAGTTACTTGAATCGAAAGAAATTCTATTCAATCCAGGTATGTATCTAATAATAAATTTCATATTAAGATTAATCAATAGATCTTTCTTTAATCTCTAAAATGTATGTTTTATACATTCTGCATTTAAAATGGTTTATCCATAAATAAAATCTATTCTCTTCTACATAATGTATAAAAAAACCTAAAATCCTAATATTATTTTAAATCACGATGGCCTGTATCCTGCTATTCTTAATAAATTTTGACGAAGAGCTATTAAAAAACAATAATTTTTCTGACACTTTTTTTTAAGTTTCAGGTGGTTTGTGACTCAAAAAAAAGAATTCGGGATATCTTTATTGGCTTCCCAGGATCGGTCCATGATGCAAGAGTGTTTAGCAACTCCCCTTTATATCAGTCATTAAATCAAAAATGTGGAGAAAAAGTAATTTTAGCAGACAGCGCCTATCCATGTCTCAGAAACATTCTGACACCATATAAAGACAACGGTCATCTCAGTGCCACAGAAAAAAATTATAATTATAAGTTGAGCCACTGTCGTATTATAATTGAGCACACTTTTGGTAATTTAAAGCAAAAATTCAGACAATTATACCATTTAAAATTACGTGGTGAGGTTCTAATATGCCATTTTATTAGAGCATGTTGCGTGCTATACAATTTATCTTTAAATAAAGAAGACGTTGAAGAAGTTCAACAAGAAGAGGGTCATCCAAATATTCAAAACCAGCACCAAGTGGAGGATAATATTGCCGGACAAGCCTATCGCAATTATGTTGCAGCTGAATTGTATATTCAATAAAAAAAATAGTTTAGTTTTGGATACGTTAGTTGCTAGTAAAAGTCATTATACTGAAAAGCTTATTATTTATTTAAAAAAATAAAGACTACTCCAGTAATATTTATTTAACAAAAATATATACTAAATACTTAAATCCTCAAATAAAAAAAACAGAATACATATTCTTATGCTTGTAAATAAAACAAAAGTAATAACAGAGAATTTTACCCCCAAACATGCAATAATAGGTACCTATTTACCCATTATTTTAATCACCCAAAACAAACAGCATCTTATTGGCCCTGTTGTCTATTTTCTAAAATTGCTTCTAAAAGGCTAGTTCTTTTTAATCGATCTTCATGTCTCAGTCTTTGTAATACTAGTTTTTGCTCTTCTCGATTTGATTTTTCCTTGTAATATTGTTGTAGGTCGTTCTTCATTTCTAATAAGATTTCGTTTCTTCTTTTATAGGTATTAGTCATTTTTTTCACTGCACGTTTCCTTTTTTGTTGTGGGGTATTTGGAACAGCTCTAGGGGTATCCTGATTATCTTGAACCTGTACCGTATTTTCACGATTTTCAGAGTCATCCTCAGGAATATTTAAAAAAACTGGTGATTGTGGAGGGCTTGTTGACTTATCAGTGATGCTTAAAATACTGGTATTATTTCTGTTTGCTGCAGTTGTAATAGAGTTACTTGAAAGTAAAACAGTGGGTATTATATTTTTCTTTTTTCCATAAATGGTATCAAACTCATTCTCGAATTCAAAAATTTTTCTGTCTCTCCCAGTTTTATTGTTATTATCAATGACTTTTTTGTAATTCCGTTCTAGTGTTTTCCATCGGTTTTCACATTTTGATGCACTAATAGTTATTTTAAATTGGTTGGAAATGTCTGTAGCGACAATTTCCCAAAATTTTTTCATTGACCTTATGTCATATGAACCTACTTTAGGTTTGTACTTTTTATATAGGTCTATTAAAGCAAGAGTTCGTTGCCTATTATTTAAAAAGGTTTCTTCTTGATTGCATATTGCTTTTAATGAGAAAGTACGTCCTGTTGAACATGAACCTGTACTTTCTGTTGAAAACGTACCTCCCGCTGTCTGAATGGTTACAAATTCGGCGATTTCTTCGACAATATCTGAAATAAACATTAGAATTTGCTAACAAAACCCTTGTGAACACACATTTTTTGAAAAGGAAACTTACCATCATTGTTTGTTACTTCAAGCATTTTTACCACAAAACACCAATCTTTTTGTTATTATCTAAATAGATCTAAATTGTTTTTTTTTTCAGATATAAAGTAAGAAGTAAGGTTAAACGAAACCATATATATTTTTCCTAGAAACTAAATCAGCTGTTTTAAGTTAAAGATTTTTTTTCTTAATCTAAGGTTAAAGGATGTGTTTTGGTTTATGGTTCTCTCGAATTGATTCCGAACCGATCTAAGATTAATGCTAGTACGCAACTTGTTCTGCGCAATTCTAGAATCGTCCTGAAATTCGAACCAAAACAAAGCTATAGTGATCGGTTCGGACTAATCCGAAGGTACTACAGACTATTATTTATGAGACGAGGCCGGAATATAATAGCCATTACTATTATACTATTAGTATTAAAATAATATGTGTGTAACATATTTCTTTAACGAATTAACCTGTAACAGACATTTATATGCCCAGTATATTTTTGTTTAACAAACCAATCAGGAGAAATCCAAAACCTACCGTTATAGGAGGTATAAGATGATTAAACTTAAATAATGACAACTACTTATCGGATAACAAATTAATTACTACTGTCAGCTAGTTCAGCTACTGTCTAGGTAGAATATACCTAGAGTACCTACACCTACCTATGATGTAGGTAGATTAAAGCTTATTTTGACGTTACCTCTCACTTCGGTGTCACAAGCTGAATTTTCAGGGATGGAAGTACAGTACATTATATGGGGACCCTTATTCCGAAAGTAGTACAAAATTAGACAGGGTAAAAGGGCACTATCATCAAAAATCGATATATTAATACCAGCGTATAGAGAAAACAAATACTTATTTTTTGATCCAGTACACAATAAAGTCTTCGTAGGGAGTAGTTTTTTATAATAATTTACGAAAAAACATTTCCGTTAGTGCTTATGACCAAAAAAAACTTTAAACATGAATAATCATTTCAATCACGCGAAAATTTGGTTTAAAAATAGACTTTTTTTAATATAACTTTCATTTAACGAAAAACGAAGGCCTAAATGAAAAAAAGAAACAATTTAAAAGTTTCGCTTATGTCTTGACAAGGTATCAAAGCATACCCCATATTTTTTGCTTTTAAACTAATAAAGATAATATCAATAAACAATTAGCGATGTAATGGTTTTTGCGCGCGCTGGTCGACTGCCGCCGCTGCGCCGAGATTTGTATATGACGTCATGGTGTGGCAAATGTAGCATTTTAATTCGATTTGGGCTCCCTTCTATAGGATAACAGAAACATTTTCAATGTTAAAACAATCTTTGGATTGTGACGGGATTTCTAACAGGAAACTGTCTCGTCAACGAACACATCATTAGATTGAAGGTGAGAAAAAAACGGCGAATGCAGATTCTGTGGGGAAATTGGGGAAACACCAGAACACCTTATCACTGAGTGCGCCGAGACGGAAACCGTTCGTGCCATAAACTTTGGTACGGTTGATGTCGAAGATGGAGAGCTGGTCTTTGTGGAGCCGTTTCACATACTGGGTTTTGTTCAAAGCCCGGAAACTCTGTTATAACTCGTTATAACTCAAGAAAGGGGAACACACAATAGATGTGTAAGGTCGTGGTGATTAAGCCCCCTCCTAAACATTCTACATTCTACAATATTTGACAAGTAGTACCCCGGGTGTTTTATCCGGAAAAAGTGAAATTTGGTGTGTTCGTATATGACAAACTTAAAAGTAAAATGATTTTGGTGTATTACGGCGAATTAACGTTTTATTTTACAAGAATAGTAGCTATTTTTAATGTAGATGTGACTGATATTTTGCTGTCTTCTTATACGCTTGACGTACCTCTTTCCCGCGAAGAAACGAATAAAAGAATTCGCGTTTTTCCAGTAGTAATTATATTTTTCGCTAATTAGGCGCAAGTATCCAACAAGACATTTCGGGCCCAATTCCCTGTCACGCCGGCAACAAATCACAAACAACATCTCGTAAATATCGCGTTTCGGCGGCAACCCCTTCGGCAGACGGCTTATTTTTGGATTTCGAAATATTTGTCGTTCATTGTTGGAATTTTAAACGACCACCGCCGCGGCAAAATCGCCATCAAAATAAGATTAAAACCCCGTTTCGTTTAACGAACACAAAGAGAAATAATTGAGTGTAATTTCGAAAGCAAAATGAGTCCTAAATTCGTTTTATTATAAATGTGTTTGATTATTTTGGTGAAAATCGTGAGCTATTCAATATCACTACAGGGTGTTTCAAAAAACATGTGCCATCTTTTGTGAGGAGATTCCTCAAGTAAAAATAAGATTTATTTTTCATATCAACATAGGTCTAATTCTGCTCTGTTTCGTAGCTACAGGGTGTTAAAGTCTTCAGATTTTTTTCGATTTATTACAATTTTCTTCCTTTTAATTATTCGAATGTATTTTTGAGGGTAAACGTTATTATAAGTGCTACATACTTTAATGCTAGAAAAGTGTCGATAAATTCATCAGTGACGTACATATGGGTTATCACTGGAATATTTAAGAAAAACATGTGCGCCACTGACTTCTTCTTTTGATATCAAAATTGTGTAGGCCGTTTAATGCCATTTAAAAGATGTATCTTCATGTTTTACCGATTTCGATGTCCTTGATAAGATAATAGCAATTTTATTAATCACAATAAATAAAATTAAACTTAAAATAAAATTAATAAATTATACACTTTAATACTATTAGTTATTATTACTATTATTCCAACCTACAGCAATTTCAAATAAAAAAATAATGGTATTTAGGATAATTACAAAAGACCTAATTTTAAAAAGTTTTAACATCCTGTAGGTAACTCTAAAACTACGCATTTTCATATACATATTTATAGGGACTCTTTTCGTACTTTTTGATGAGGAATCAATGAGTACTTATTTAAAACTTTTGCAAGTTAATAAAATTAAAATGTTTTAAAAGTTGCTCTTAAACTTGGATCAAGGCAAATTAATAAAATTGCGTTTATCTCATCAAGGAGGCCTAAATCAACAAAATATCAAGAGACAAGTTTTAATCGGCATTAAACTCCTTACACTATTATGCTAAAAAGAAAAAAAAAGTCAAAGGCATACATGCTTTTTTAGAAAAATATTCCAGTGATATCCCATATGCACGTCACTGGTGAATATGTCGACACTTTTTTCGCATTAATATATGTCGCATTTATAGTAACTTTTACCCTCAAAATTTTATTCGAATCGTTAAAAGTACTTGGAAGGAAATTAAAAGAAATCGTTCAAATCGAAAAAATAGTAAGACTTTAACACCCTGTAGCTACGAAACAAAGCAGAACTGAACTACATATGTTGATATGGAAAATAAATCTTACTTTTACGATAGGAATCTCTCCATGAGAGATGGCACATGTTTTTTGAGAAACCTTGTATAAAATTAAACTCTACTATCACTATAATAATAAATTTCCACAACATTGATCTGTGGACTAATATTGCTGTTCTTACAATACCATATTATAAAAGAGAATCTGTAGTTCATTTCATTAATAATTAACTAATAATTAATATTTGAATCTCAGTTATCTCACTTATAAAAAAGTTAATAACTGCTTCAATCGAAATCCAGTGGTGTAAGTTTTTCTCCAAATACATATCGGCCAATAATTACTCTTGTCTTAAATGGAACATATGTCGTCATGGAATTGTCAATGGAACGTCAGAAAGTATTTTGGATTTTCACACATTTTTCAAAAATACATAGAAGTATGTGTCTATTTTATTAAACGACAAAATTATAATTTTCAGATTACATATCGAACATTTTACAGTAGGCAATTTTCCTTTATAGTTGAAATTTTCCTACATTTTATACTGAAACATCTATTTCTTTTTATACACACGAATATTTAACCTATATTTCTAACTTAAATTTAGCGACATTGTTTATAAATTGAATGAGAAGCACACTGACAGGTAAAATTACAATAATTTCTCGAGGTTCTTTCGTGTCACCGAACAAAAAACAGAAGTAATTGAATCCCAATTTGGAAAAGTTTTCTGTTTTGAAGCGAAACAAACTCACGATGATTACGCTCCAATTTGTGTTATTTTTATCAAAGTTTCCGTCAATTTGTAAGCCTTTTTTGTAGAGCTATAATTATAGATTAGTTTTTCGTAAAGTAGGTATAATTCTATCTCTAAGTGCGTAGGTTTGTTTCTTTTTGTTCGGTTTGTGCAAGGGCGTGGGCACGATGGGGCACCGTAGGGCAGTTTCCACTTTAGCTGGCTGGCACATGCATGATTTCTTGTAGTTCAAATTAATATTCAGTTGAACAGAAATTTTAATACTGAAAAATATCAGTGAACAGTTTGAGTACATTGCTATTGAGTTTAAAAAGAATAATAGACATGTTGAAAATACACTCTGAAAATATTGATGTTGAAAGAATAAAACCGTGTTTACATTGGAGCTGTGATAAATTATGAAAGCAAATATACACCGGGTGCGTCTCAAAAGTGGCTCACCCCTATAACTTTTTTATTTTTTCTGATAAAAAATAAAAGTAGTATGTTAGTATATGACATAAATTAGGATTGATTGACGTATTCAATAATTGTTTTCGGTCACTTCCTGTTTCACAGGAAATGACTACAACTTTTGATTTTTTGTATATCGATAAAAAATGACACTCTGAATATGTCAGCTTTTGATATTTTCGCATATGGTTTATTTGAAATTGTAACATGCGGTTCATATCGACAATTTGACTCGAAATACCAAGTGTGTGATACCAATTATTATTCGTAAAAAATGGCTTTTCCAAATATGCTAATGAGCCACCCTCACCCTCGTTCCATTTCAAAAAATTGAGATATGATTAAAAATACGATTTGGTCATCTTTGAACCGGCCATAATAAGACACTAAAAACATTAGACGATCAAATCTATTTTTCCGAGGCTGTTTAATTAAAAATTAGTGTTTTTAGCACAGACATGGCACTCCAGATTGAAATTTAATACGATGTTTTTTAAGCAAATATGTCAAAAGTTGACATATGATATGTCGTTCTATTCCGAGTACCATTTTCTATCGAATAAAGTAAAAAAATACCGA